ATGTGTAGGTCTCACCTCTTGGCCTTGGTGCAGAGACAGAAGAGATCACCTAGACTAAGATTGAGACATGTACTAAGTTCCATCGTCTTGAGATTGGTCAATGAGAGTGAACAAGTGTCCCATGATAGCAAACACATGGCGATCCCAAAACTTAAGTATTAGGCAAGCATGTACGGTCTCATTTCTAGGATGCACAAAAGAGGAATGATAGTAGTATATATTTCTATAATGGTTTCCTATTCATCCTCATAGTGTGCACATTCAATTGAGTATAAATGAATATTCAGTGAATTATGCAACTGCATTAGTAGAAAAAACTAAGCACGATGATGCTCCAACAAATAGCTAAGGTGCAGAGGTGAGTAGTAGTGCCATAGAGAATCCAAACATATCATCGGAACTGTAGCTCATAACAAGATATTACATTGGGAAAGAAGGCATCCATTACATTCTTAGTCATTTCATGTCAAGCAAATTTTTACTATCTCTACTAGTCCCCACTGGTCCAGTAATCAACATTTCAAGTATTAGATCCCTACTCAGACTGCAGAATTAGATCTAAGTTTCAATCACACATTATTATTGATACATGATAGCTGTACTTAGTTAAACCAATTGCAATACTAACCAGGCAATCACAACTTTCACACTATTAATACGATGAGATAATACACAGATAGATCATAAACAATGCAAGATATCAGAATTGTAAAATTGTAACCCAAAACATACCTGCCTACCAACTTGTCGAAAATGAAATCCCGGCTTCCCTCCCTCTACTTTCCCCAACAATTCTTCATTTTCATAATCCAGCGCAATCAAATCTTTCTGAACCTCAACATCCCCAACAAAACCACCACCCACACCAACCCCACCTTTTCTTTTCCCACCATCCCTCCCCAAATCCATCCAAAAGGATTGCATCAGGTCATAAGCTATGTTTCACGGACTCATGTATGGGTGTCAGGTGCGATTTAGAGTCTAAGCCAGATTCTTCAAATTCCTGTCTAAAAAAACGTCTAAAAGTACAAAGACATGGCTAGACATTCATATTTCATAATATTCAGTTTTCTGGGGTAAAATGGTTTCTCAAAAGTAACATAGAGCATTTTATGCATAGCGTGAGAGTTTTGTGTACCATCAAACAGTAAACTCAATTACTAGACATGGTTACTACTGGCACATGCTCAACTAGACATGTCGGACAAATATCTTATACCTTTACCCAAGGGTAGAGTGTTTGTTTGCACAATTACGTCACATGAATTTAGGAGTTTACTAAGGAAATAAATTAGACTCCATGTGCTTACTTTTTGCAAGAAACCATATCTTTGAGGCAGATAAACCCAGCATGTAGAAGATTTTAGGAGAAGCCCGGGTCTGGAGAAGTCTCTCTCTTAATCGACCTACCTAAGGTAGCTAGACCTACACAAAGTAACACATTGCAGTGAACCTTCATCTCCAGCCAATAGACCCCAAAGCGTCTTAGTGCATGCTAAGTTGTTCGGCATGTGTAGGTCTCACCTCTTGGCCTTGGTGCAGAGACAGAAGATATCACCTAGACTGAGATTGAGACATGTATTAAGTTCCATCGTCTTGAGATTGGTCAATGAGAGTGAACAAGTGTCCCATGATAGCAAACAGATGGCGATCCCAAAACTGAAGTATTAGGCAAGCATGTACGGTGTCATTTCTAGGATGCACAAAAGAGGAATGATAGTAGTATATATTTCTATAATGGTTTCCTATTCATCCTCATAGTGTGCACATTCAATTGAGTATAAATGAATATTCAGTGAATTATGCAACTGCATTAGTAGAAAAAACTAAGCACGATGATGCTCCAACAAATAGCTAAGGTGCAGAGGTGAGTAGTAGTGCCATAGAGAATCCAAACATATCATCGGAACTGTAGCTCATAACAAGATATTACATTGGGAAAGAAGGCATCCATTACATTCTTAGTCATTTCATGTCAAGCAAATTTTTACTATCTCTACTAGTCCCCACTGGTCCAGTAATCAACATTTCAAGTATTAGATCCCTACTCAAGACTGCAGAATTAGATCTAAGTTTCAATCACACATTATTATTGATACATGATAGCTGTACTTAGTTAAACCAATTGCAATACTAACCAGGCAATCACAACTTTCACACTACTAATACGATGAGATAATACACAGATAGATCATAAACAATGCAAGATATCATAATTGTAAAATTGTAACCCAAAACATACCTGCCTACCAACTTGTCGAAAATGAAATCCCGGCTTCCCTCCCTCTACTTTCCCCAACAATTCTTCATTTTCATAATCCAGTGCAATCAAATCTTTCTGAACCTCAACATCCCCAACAAAACCACCACCCACACCAACCCCACCTTTTCTTTTCCCACCATCCCTCCCCAAATCCATCCAAAACACAAACCCAACAAAGAAAAGCTAAAACCCAACAAACCCAATAGCCTGCCATAGAAAAATCTCAGCACTAAGATACACATAGAACAAGAACAAAGCTGCAGTCAAGTAAAACAACACGTCCCTCACAAAAGGCACAGGGTCCACCGAAAAGGGTGCTGCATAAATCGCCACAAAACCAACAACCAATGCCGAAACAAACGTCCCGGCCGACAAAATCGCGCCGAACCCAGTCCTCGGATGGCCTCCGCGGACCGCAGCGACCGATGCGAACACATCGGGGGCACCATTGCCGAGTGCAAGAAGTGTCACAGCCCCAATACTGGGTGACAAATTGAGGTGGGTAACGAGCTTGGTGACCACAACAGAGAATTGATCCTGAGCGGTCTTGACGAGGACATAGAACTGGAAGAGGATAGTGAGGAAGAGAAAGGGGACAGAGGCAAATGGGTTTTGGTGGAAGAGGCAGAAATGGAGAGAGAAGTAGTTGATGAGGCTGTTAGAGTCGCCATTGCAGTGGAGGAGAGAGAAAGAGCAGCGATTGTGAGGTGGGGTATGGAGGATGGAGGAGCAGGAGAGGGAAGTAGTGGTGGTGGTGGTGGTGGTGGTGTTGAGGAGGGACCTGTGGGGGATTAGTGGGCTTGTGGAGGGGTAGTTTGGGGGTGGATTGAGGAGGAAGAAGAAGATGAGAGTGGTGAGAAGGATGAGTGAGATTGTTGGGGTTTTGAGGGAAGAAGGGAAGAGAGAGAAGGCCATGCCATTCCAATCCAAACAAGGTTTAAGCTCTCTCTCCCTCTCTCTCTCTCTCGCTTTCTTGGGTGAGATTGGAGTGATGAGTATTGGCTGGTGTGAGTCTGTGACCCTCTTTTCTCTCTTGAATCTTGACGCGTTTTCGTTTCTTTCTGACACCTGCAACCTAAATTGAAGTTTTATTCTTTCCATTAAAAAAACATGAGAGTTCGAGGCTTTTTGGCAAGTGTAAATAAAAATTTGCTTGGTGTTTGATTTTATTTTAAGAAAATTATTAATAACTTCTAATTTTTAATATATTTTTTGTAATTAAAAAAGAGGGGGCTAAATTTTATTTGTTTCAAAAATATATCATTACCCACCTCTATCTCCAATTGTAGTCATTGGCAATTTTTTCTGACCACTGTTAGTAACAATCTTCACTAACACATTCATCTTGTAACGCTATTAGTCATCAACTATTATTAAAAGTCACTTTCATTGTTTAACAATCACATTCGATCAGTATTTCTGGCTAGTAATTATCTCAGATTATTTTTTTTTGAGAATAGATTATTTTAATAATTTTTTATGAAAATATATATAAAAAAATAAAGGCACTATAATAATTTATAATAACTTTTTAATCTTTTAACTAAAATATATTATCTCCAAACCAGTATCTTTAAACAAAAAAAATTAATAAATTTTAAACAATACCATCATAATTCACAGTGTGACAGTGACACTTGATTAGAGTGGGCTGAAGTGCTAAACATCTGGATTGATTAAGAAAATTTATCATTGATTTCATTTCATTTATTTCTTCTATTCTAGTACATGTAAAATATATATATATATATATATATATATTCCTTTGTAATGACAAATTAATGTAATAAACTTTTGAATGACATTAATTAAGATGTTTTCATCATTTGGGCTTACAAAATATAATTGTCTGACTTCATATTTATGACAGTATTCATTAGGATTACTTCCACATTTTTTTACTGTTAATCATAGTACATCATCTATATACCAACCAACAATGAGCACACATTTGCACTGGTCTTGTAACAAATGAATTTGGAATTTACTAAAACCATACTATTAACAACATATACATATATATACATATTTTCAGAATTTTAATTCATTATTATAGAAATTTGTGAAAATTGATGGTGTTATTAGTCTAACTAATAAAGTCTCTTAAGGAGTGTTTGGGAAGAAAGTTGGACTAAAGTAGTCTATTAAAAGACAAAATAAGCTAAAATAATCAATAAAAAAAAATCACATCTAACTCTTAATCATTTCACTTTTTTTCTCACAATTATCAAATCAACTAAAAAAAATAATAAAAAAAAACCAACTTCTCAAACACAACTATTTTAGTAAACTAAAAAATCAAATAGCTAACTAAAATATCTAACTTCCCAAACAAAACCTTAGTAGACAAACAGTTTTGTCCCAAAATCTCTCTTTTCTGTCTCAAAATATTCTTAGCTGTTAAATCATAGAAAAATTTTAAAGCACAAAACGATCGAAACATAATTTCATGATTATGAATCTAACTAATGAAAAGTCCCTTAGTATACTATGGTTTTGTTCCAAAATTTCTCTTTCAAAATATTCATAACTGTTAAATCATATAAAAATTTCAAAATGCAAGAATATCAAAAACTAATTTCATGGTCATTTGAGACACATCCCTCTTCTGGATTCTAGCTCCTTCATCCAGATTAGGAGAGTTATGATCAGAAGGTTAGTCACATATTGTTGTGTAGCCCATTGCCGATTGAAAACAACGTGCACTTGCACAAAGTATACACACGCAAAGAAAAAGTAGGAATCAACAAGAAGGTGAACTCATTCTTCTTCTACCAATTTGAACATCAAGTGAAACTGTGGATATTGAAGAGGATAGAAAGGAATGGGAAGCTGATTGAAAACTGTTTCCTCTTGTACATTGTGTCTTAATACTTCATATACACATTATGATCATATCTACACTTCAGATAACCAAAAACAGTAACCTAAATTATGCACGGAGATTTCGTGACAACCACTTCTTTCGATGCAGGATGTCCATCTTCACAAACGCCTTCGCTTTATTCTCATCTTCCAAAAGATCACAAGCATCCAAGAAGAGTTCATCATCCATGTCAGGTACAGCTTGAAGTGCATCAACAATGCTTTCTATTGAGCTATAGTTCCTGTCCACTGTATTACTTCTACCTGCTTCTTGCAACTCCTCCCTGGTTTTCTGAATTTTTCTCCCACGTGTTGAACTTAATGGTGTGGTGGATTGGCGTCTTTTTCTCCCATTAGACACTTCATTATCAATAGCTGGGGACTTCAGAGCTCCAAATATGCCATCCATCCCCATTTCCAGGGCATTATCATCAATATTCATTTCTGGGCACAGATAACTTGACGTTCCATCATGGATCTCATCTCCAAAAATAATGCTCAGATCACAGTAATTCTCCAATATTATATCTTTGTATGCTACAGCATCGGGATGTTCCTGCAAATCATCACGGTGACAAATTAGCTATCAATTAAGAACATAAAGTCCAAGCAATTGGAATGGGTGTTTCTAATACCCTACTTCACAGAACTGGCATCAGTAAATCACTCTGTTAGATGGTGCATTATCAGCAATTCATCAAAAGTAAAGGTACTTTTCAAATAATATACAAGGTCCATGTCGTAGTAGCAGGAAAGTTGTACTTGGGTTACGTTTCTTACTTAGAAACGTGATTCGGCGCTCCCCAAGTAAAAAACTTGTAAGAAACTCGATCCCAGCTAAGATAAAACCTCTCAAACATATAAATCTCACATAAATAAAAGAAAAACAACTCAAACTTAGTAGTTCCTATTTAGATATTTACTTATACTTAACAAAGATAATTTGTAGTTGACATCCATCTTTAATATTTATTCATATTTTAACACATATCACAACTATGTAGAGAGGAAAAAAAAATGTTAAAATCTATTCAATATATAAAACATACATGCTCCCATAGGCGCTCCCAACCTTAGAAACTTCTATATTCCCTAACTCCCCCAACCCCGCTTCCTGCAACTAAGGTCCATGTTATTTTGAGTTGAAGTCATTAATAATTACATGAACAATAAAACGAGGAAACAGCCTTTGATTTGCCGATTCAGTCATACACATGAAAGAAATTCACCTCAATATAAGCTTCCCAATAATCATCGTCAGCTGTGACTTTTTGTTCTATTTCGTCCCATGCAAAGCCATTCTTGTTGAGAAGAGTGCTGATGTCGTCATACTGTTTCATCAATCTTAGGTACCGATTTTCCAGTACACATTTGTCAAACTGAAGTCCAAATTTCTCATTGAATGATGTGATCATGCAGACCCAAGCTTGCTTATTGAAGGTATTTTCAACTCTATTCCCTTCAAACACCTGTCCTAACATGAGGTCAATGAAATATCTGTCCATTGGCTTTGTCCAAGCAATGCTCGAAGTATCACTACCAGAAGAGGATTGGTCATCTTCCTGATCTACACATTGAGAAAACAATCAGTCACAAGACGCCATATAGGTGCCTTGGATACCATGAATATTTGCATTATGCATAATATAGCAATATAGATAAGTCCATTTTTCCTACGTCCCGTGGAATTCTTTTTTTCTTTCTTTATTTTCGTTTTACCTTTTTTTTTTCATGCACGGAAAGAAAGGGAGGGAATATCAGTAAATAGAATATCATGAAAAGATGAAACAACTCGAGTACACACAATTTATAGAACAAAACTCTATGCGCCTATAGAGCTAAAAGATTCCAAATTCTTTACAAAATCCAAAAAAGTCTAGATGGGATATTATGAAGCACCAACTCTTCAAAATAAGTGTCATCCTCATATCCGGCGTGGGGAAACGGCAGGGACATGTATGGAACACGCCACATGGCGTGTCCCTTTAATTCTTTTTTTTTCATGAATTACGCCGGGGACACGCCAACTAGTTTTTTCCTCCCCATTCTTTAGTGCTTTTGATGGATGTTGGAAATTTATTAAATTATTTTAAATACTTAATAGATCATCTATAAAAAAGAATTAGTTTCTATTAATTTTAATTGTTTGTGGATGTAATATTAATCTACATATGAAATAAAAATATATGAAAAATTATTTTATTGTCGTGTTGCCGCCGTATCCGTATCTCCATTTTTTTGAAATAACCATGCCCCGTGTCTGTGCTGCTTAGATGGGATCAATTCCCTTTGCTCATCACTCAACTATGTAATAAATTCCAAATAAATACAACATAACCAATCACATTACTAAGATTAGAAAGACATTGTAATAGCAATAGTATATATATATCATTCACATGCAGCTTCCAAGATAAACAATTAGATCAATCATACTGGCAAATAAACAATAATCACACTTGTGCTTAAAGCATAAAGACAGAGCTATAGTCCATATTTATGATCATTGCCACCATTCTAGTCATGGTTCACCAATTTAAAGACAACAGCTGTGGTTCACACAAATCAAGCAAGGAGAGAGAGAGAGAGAGACAGCTCACAAATGTTTACTTTTAGGGCACCATCATCAAGATTGGTACAATGACTTGCATGGTCACTCCTTCCATTAGTGCTTGTATTTCCATATATCAGAAACAAATCATTATAGTTTGGGAGAGTTCTACTTCGGAATGATTGTGCATCAGGACGCTCCTGGTTATGAAGAATGTAAGCTACTGCACACTAAAATCTTACATGTTACGAATGTTATTAGAGAACTATACTGAAATATGCACCTTGATATAAGCATCCCAGATATCATCACTAGCCATCACCATCTGTTGCATTTCATCCCATGCAAACCCACTCTGATCAATAAGAGTTCTCATATCATGGAATAGATTCCTCATTTTCTCAAAACGACTTTCTAGAACATCTTTGTGGTGCTGAGACCCAAATTTTGCGACAAACTTCACCACCATATCACCCCAAGCTTGTTTGTTGAAATTTTGATCAATCATATTCCCTTTACGGATCTGCTCTAGCATTAAATCGATAAAATATCGGTCCATAGGTGCTGTCCAGAAGAGGATGATGGTCTGTGCAATATAATAAAATAAACATAGATATATATATATATAGAGATATATTAAAATATGAGAAAGTGGAGTGGGGTTGAATAAAAAAATTGTGGCATTAGAAAGTGCTGTCTGTCAATCCCGTGGGTGTGTGTGTGAGTGTGGGAGAGATGATTATGTTGGAAAAAAGAAGAGAGAGACTTGGGACTCTATGGGTTGCTGATGTGGGTGCTAAGAAGTGGAAGAGAAAAGGGGCTTGGAGAGGTGCTTATTTTCCCAAATTCAATGTTACTGTGGCTTATCATCGCTCTGTGTTGCTTGCCAAATACGAGTAAGAATTTCGGGATTTATTTTTTAATGTTGTTTTTGATCTTATATCCCGTGGGTGTGTGTGAGTGTGGGAGAGATGATTATGTTGGAAAAAAGAAGAGAGAGACTTGGGACTCTATGGGTTTCTGATGTGGGTGCTAAGAAGTGGAAGAGAAAAGGGGCTTGGAGAGGTGCTGATTTTCCCAAATTCAATGTTACTGTGGCTTATTATCGCTCTGTGTTGCTTGCCAAATACGAGTGGCAGCCAAAGCAGTCAGCATTCTCTAATCAAGATGGATTGAAGGGAATATATCGAGTAGATGTTGATATTCCGTCAGATGACTGGGCTTCCATCACTGGCTTCTATGATGTCCTTGTATTCAATACCGGCCACTGGTGGGGTTACGACAAGTTCCCAAAAGAGACGCCTCTTGTTTTCTATATGGCTGGGAGACCCATAGTTCCACCCCTGCAGATGTTGGATGGATTTAAAGTTGTCCTTGAGAATATGGTTTCTTACATAGAAAAAGAATTCCCACGAAAGACACTCAAGTTCTGGCGCTTGCAATCTCCAAGACATTTTTATGGTGGTGATTGGAATCAAAATGGTAGTTGCTTGTTCAATGAGCCCCTTGAGGAACAGCAGCTTGATTTGTGGTTTGATCCCAGCAACAATGGAGTGAACAAAGAAGCAAGACGACTGAATCATATAATTGAAGAGGCATTACGAGGAACTGATATTCAATTACTTGATCTGACTCATTTGAGTGAGTTCAGAGCAGATGCCCATCCGGCAGTTTGGCTGGGAAAGAAGGATGCAGTGGCAGTCTGGGGTCAGGACTGCATGCACTGGTGTCTACCAGGTGTCCCTGACACATGGGTTGATATCCTGTCACAACTGGTGAAGGAGAGATTATGGACATGATGGAAGTTGCAGATCCCGATGCTGTTCATGCCGTCCGATCTTTCATAAAGAAAAAAAAAAAAGGTTTGCTTCTGAACTGAAAGAAGAGTTTCTGAGCATGGTCAAAAACAACAGAAGCTCGGAGAACAAATATGTGTGAGGCAGAGAAGAGTTCAGCTATGGACTTTGTGGCAGCGGAGGGAAGGTATGTGTAGAGGTCCGGCGGACTAGGTTGAGGTCCGGCGGGCGGCCAAGGCGAGGTTGCCGCCCGCCGGTGACACGAAAAAAAATACTAAACTCTTAACCTTGCTCTGATACCATGTAAAAAAAGATGTATTATTGATTGATATATTGATTGATAGATTACAAGATTGATTTATTCTGTATATTACAACTCCTATATAACAATAATCACACTTGTGCTTAAAGCATAAAGACAGAGCTATAGTCCATATTTATGATCATTGCCACCATTCTAGTCATGGTTCACCAATATAAAGACAACAGCTGTGGTTCACACAAATCAAGCAAGGAGAGAGAGAGAGCTCACAAATGTTTACTTTTAGGGCACCATCATCAAGATTGGTACAATGACTTGCATGGTCACTTCTTCCATTAGTGCTTGTATTTCCATATATCAGAAACAAATCATTATAGTTTGGGAGAGTTCTACTTCGGAATGGTTGTGCATCAGGACGCTCCTGGTTATGAAGAATGTAAGCTACTGCACACTAAAATCTTACATGTTACGAATGTTATTAGAGAACTATACTGAAATATGCACCTTGATATAAGCATCCCAGATATCATCACTAGCCATCACCATCTGTTGCATTTCATCCCATGCAAACCCACTCTGATCAATAAGAGTTCTCATATCATGGAATAGATTCCTCATTTTCTCAAAACGACTTTCCAGAACGTCTTTGTGGTGCTTAGACCCAAATTTTGCAACAAACTTCACCACCATATCACCCCAAGCTTGTTTGTTGAAATTTTGATCAATCATATTCCCTTTACGGATCTGCTCTAGCATTAAATCGATAAAATATCGGTCCATAGGTGCTGTCCAACCAGACCTCAAACAACTGCCATTTTGGGATGCTTGAAAATCCCTTCCTTCAACAAATTAAAGAAGAACATGAGATAACAATAATAGAATATATTCATCAAAACCCATTGAACTTTTATTTCACAAAGAAAAACTATATGCATCATGCATCATTCATTTAGGGCAGTCTATGCAATTTAAATTATTACTCACAGGTTCCAAAGTTGTCCAACCCTGAGAACATTTTTCACTAAATCAAGTTGACACAATAGTGATATAATAATAATAATAATAATAATAATAATAATAATAATAATAATAATAATAATTCCTTAAATCGCATCAGAATACAAACTAACCATCACCATTGAAGCCCACATATGGATCTGATTGGTTCCATCTTCCTTCAGAAGTCAAATTTCCATAAACCAAGCATAAATCATTATAATTTGGCATTGTTTTTGTTCTGAATGATGTTCCATCTGGGTTCTCCTATAAACAACATATGTAAGCCACTAGCAATTGGAACTCACATGTAAGAGTAAGACCCAAAGGAATAAGCAATTCACCTTGGTATAAGCATCCCAAACATCATCAGGTCCTGTGACCATTTGCCTTGATTCATCCCAAGAAAATTCACCCAGTTCAAGCAGATGGGTGGTGGAAGGAGTAGGTGAGTTAGGGTTTGGGTTTTGGATAGGGTTTGAAGGTACAGAAAGAAGATGAAGAGAAGACTTATCAAAAAAAAAAAAAAAAAAAAAAAAAGAGAAGGGTAATTTAGTCTTTATGTATTGAAATTTATCTTCGACTAAAAAAAATTCCCCTCTACACAGCCATGTATCTCAATTTCTGTCTATTTGGACGGAAAATATAACGGTAGCACTTTAGTCTAAAACCACATAGGGGGTATATGGCTTTTTTAAAAAATAAGGGGGATAAGGTGCTACCGAACCATAGGGGTGTAAAGTGGATTTTGCCTGTATATATACATATATATTGTACCAGCAAGAAATTCATTTAGACTAACATTTTAAATGAAGATATTAACTTTGCAACTGATTTCATAGTTATACTTGTAGTAAACATTTATTCGAATAACTATGAAAACCTCAGTCGTCAACTGCTCGTGAGGGTATTTTAACCATTGACAACCTTAGATAGAGACTCAAAAGTGATGGTTGATTGGTCATGTATGTTCAAGAATGAAAGGAAATGTATCGAACATCTCCTTCTTCATTGTCCTGTAGGCCTCGGGAGAACGAATTATAGAGCCTGATTACCTTAGCTTGATTTTTAGGGCTATTTGGGTGACAACCATGTTCAGTCGTGGATGTTCTTGCTAGTTGGAATTCTTACTATCCCAAGAGGTTAGAGAAAAAAGATTAGCAGACTATTGTGTCATGTATGTTATGAACTATCTAGAGGGAACAAAATAGAAGGTCTTTTGAGGACACCAAACTTCCTATTCATACCTTGATGGGATCTGTGTTCCTTTCTCTATTATTTTGGATGAGACCAAACTACCATTTCTCGATTTTGTCTTTTGTGCAGTTCATAGGTGACTTATATATCCCAATGGATGTATAGCTTTAACGTATGTTTTTGCTTAGCTAGTTGATGTATGTAGCTGTGTGAGGGTAGAATGTTAGCCTCCTCTAAGGCACTCTTTCTTATTATAGAATCATATTTATCAAAATAAAATAAAATAAAAATCTAGCATGACTAATTTCTCCAGAACATAAAATTTAAGTCAACTAGAACGGTGGACACATTTATGATAAAGCCATAGAATAACATTATATTAAACATAACAAAGCAGATGATCACCGTACAAAAGTTCACAGTTCATTCAAAGCTATTGTTACATCATGTGACAGACCTCAGTCTTGCCAGTTATTAAAGCAACTACAGGGCACCACATTATCATCCTAGATTTAAACTAATGTTAACTTGGTGACATATACCACATCAACAATAGCTTCTAAGATGTCATCTTCGAGATTGTCTTCTGTCACAATTGACTACATATTCTGCATAACGTTGTGAGTCCTAAATTGTGGACATAATGTGATTTCATATTTGTCCAAAATTTTAAGAACTTGATAGGGAATTGAATTCTGTCAATTTGTGATTGGGTCATAAATAGTTAATATGGTCATTAATAACAATAAAAATTGATTAAAAAAACAATAAAATGAAACATTATCACGGTTGGGTTGTCAAACCTAATGAATTGACAAACTAAACCAATAAAATGCATTTCAATTGACAATGGCAATTCATTCACAATTGAAACCTTATATCATGCCCATGATAGGAATAGAAACAAACCAATATTTAGTCCTTGGATTTCATCATCAAAGTCTATATCATGACTTGAACGACTGTATCTTCCATCTGCAGTTGCATACGCATATATCAAGCACAAATCACTGAAGTTCATAAGAGGTTTATTCCTGTAATATTGTGCATCTGAATGGGCCTGCATCCAATCAAGTTATATTACTAGCCAGCAAGGGCAGATAAATTAAAACAAAGAGACAATGTACCTTAGTATAAGTATCCCAAACATAATCCTCAGCTACTACCATTTGCTGAGTATCATCCCACGAAAATCCACTCTGGTCAAGAAGATTCTTGACATCATTAAATTGTTTCCACAAAGTACTGTAACGATTCTTCAAAATATCTTTATCATGCTGAGTTCCAAATTTTGCACTGAACATGCTAAGCATATCAGCCCATGCTTGCTTGTTGAAAGTATGTCCAACTCTGTTACCCCTATGCATATGATCTAACATAAGATCAATAAAGTAGCGTTCCATTGCTGGAGTCCAATATGCTCTTAAACGCTCACTGCTCATGGGTGTTTGGCAACCCATTCCTTCACCAAGAAACTGAAGCAATAACCATAACTGTTACGTTGTTTAAACATAAAATGCTTCTTATATGTACAGAATAGGTCTACAAACCACTAATCATGACGTCAAAATTTCTAGAATGAAGGTTACAAAAACCCAGGCCACAAAAGATCATACTATTAGTTAAAGGCCCCGTTTGTTTTGGGAGATAGAATAGAGGGGATTGATAGTGAGGGGATTAATAGTGAGGGGATTGTTAGTGAGGAGATTGATAGTGAGGGGATTAATAATGAGGAATTGTTAAATTATTTTTATATAAAATAATAAAAAATAATAAAAATATATAAAAAATTAAACATTATATTTAAAAAAAAATTCCCAATATATAAAAAATAAAAAAATTTCGAATCCCCTCACTATTTTCTAATACCATCTCTACCTCATCCTTACCAATCCTCCTTCCAAGGATATTAGTAATACCAAGGGACTAATAGTCCCAAGGCTATCTCTGCAAACAAACAAGGGCCTTAGTAATACCAAGGTATTACTAGTCCCAATACCCTCCCTATAGCCTAAAACAAACGGGGCCTAAAACTATTATTCAAAAAAATATTGCTCACAAAGCATCTAAGAATGTGTAAAAGAGACAAGTTCAAGCTAATGTCATCATCATTAATGACATAACATCAACATTAATTCTTCAAAACCGTTGACATATATCGTGTCTTCAATAAATGTAATTCTCAGGTAGCATTGCAATAAAAAACTCAAAGACAAGTATCCTATAAAACCTTCAATGATAAGCAAAATGAGCTTAGCTAACAATAAAGGAAATTAGTCAGAATTTTGTGATGTGAGACTAAGTGAACACTTCATCAATAAATAGATAACATGAATTCTTAATCATAGATTAAACTAATCAATCTAGATTAGTCGAATCTTACACTGAGCCTGAAATCATATACCAAAATTCAAACCCACTGCATACACATAAAGTTGAACAGGAATAACTTGACAATTTCTTGGATTTCATCATCAAAGTCTATATCATGACTTGAACGACTGTATCTTCCATCTGCAGTTGCATACGCATATATCAAGCACAAATCACTGAAGTTCATAAGAGGTTTATTCCTGTAATATTGTGCATCTGAATGGGCCTGCATCCAATCAAGTTATATTACTAGCCAGCAAGGGCAGATAAATTAAAACAAAGAGAAAATGTACCTTAGTATAGTATCCCAAACATAATCCTCAGCTACTACCATTTGCTGAGTATCATCCCACAAAAACCCACTCTGGTCAAGAAGATTCTTGACATCATTAAATTGTTTCCACAAAGTACTGTAACGATTCTTCAAAATATCTTTATCATGCTGAGTTCCAAATTTTGCACTGAACATGCTAAGCATATCAGCCCATGCTTGTTTGTTGAAAGTATGTCCAACTCTGTTACCCCTATGCATATGATCTAACATAAGATCAATAAAGTAGCGTTCCATTGCTGGAGTCCAATATGCTCTTAAACGCTCACTGCTCATGGGTGTTTGGCAACCCATTCCTTCACCAAGAAACTGAAGCAATAATCATAACTGTTACGTTGTTTAAACATATAATGCTTCTTATATGTACAAAATAGGTCTACAAACCACTAATCATGACGTCAAAATTTCTAGAATGAAGGTTACAAAAACCCAGGCCACAAAAGATCATACTATTACTTAAAAACCTTAAAACTATTATTCAAAAAAATATTGCTCACAAAGCATCTAAGAATGTGTAAAAGAGACAAGTTCAAGCTAATATCATCATCATTAATGACATAATATCAACATTAATTCTTCAAAACCGTTGACATATATCGTGTCTTCAATAAATGTAATTCTCAGGTAGCATTGCAATAAACAACTCAAAGACAAGTATCCTATAAAACCTTCAATGATAAGCAAAATGAGCTTAGCTAACATTAAAGGAAATTAGTCAGAATTTTGTGATGTGAGACTAAGTGAACACTTCATCAATAAATAGATAACATGAATTCTTAATCATAGATTAAACTAATCAATCTAGATTAGTTGAATCTTACACTGAGCCTGAAATCATATACCAAAATTCAAACCCACTGCATACACATAAAGTTGAACAGGAATAACTTGACAATTTTGATGCAGTTTTTAAATAGATCATAAAAAAATCTCTCATACTACACCCATAGTCACCTACTCACCTCATTGGGACCTATTATGTATACTTTATTTGTTATATTGGTTTATTTGATATCTTTATTCTCTTGTGCTCCACAGTGGTGGCTCCAGAAATTTTTGTTGATGGGATCAAGTTAAAACTTAAACTCAAATTCTCACCTCACAAAAATTATTTAAAAAAAAAATTTGAAAAATAATAATAATAATAATAATACATTGATGCTTTGTTTTTCACCAAAAAACACAAATTATGTACTTCTACAATTGTTCACAACAAAGTCCTATATTTTAGAATCAATGTGTAATAACCTCGTTACCAATATAATAAAATATATCTTTTGCAATGTATATCACCAAATAAATAATCATTCATTCACTAATTTTTTATTCAATTACGAAATCGACTCTATAAATTTTATTGTTAAAAAAGATCTTTCTATTGTTTTCAATGTGACCTAGAAAAACTAATGTTAATTTCACAACCAAGTAGACCAATGGATATATGATAGGCACCAAAATGTATACATTCAGGCTCCCTAAACTACACTTGTTAAGTCCATAATAATGGATTGGTGTGTTGTGCAGGTAATTCAAGTCCTTGCAAAGAAAGTGAGCTTAAATGAGAAGATTGAAGGTCCGCGAGATGGGACCAAACAAAGCAAGAAGGAGAGTGCTGAATGTTGAGGTGTGCCTGAGTGCAGGTCATGGTGAGCCCGGGCGCATAGTAGTGAAGCTATTGTCCAAGTGAACCCGGGTGCACAACGTGCTAAAAAGTTCAAAAATTTAAGTTTTTATGCTCGTTTTGAGCCCATTCGAACCCTGATTGGTATGAAACTATAAAAGGATAACTTAGCCTTCAAGAAAACGGATCTTCAGTCATTGAAAGATGGCACAAGAGGCAAGAGGAAGGAAACCCAAGGTTCCAAGGACAGAGTTCTCCACATCCATGGCGTTCTTCACCTTCTCCATGGGCAACTAATCTTTTCCTTAGGGTGTAGATGAAACCCTAGCCAAGTAACTTTGGTTTGTTGTATTTTACTTTGGAATTCATTATTAATACAATGATTGTGTAATTTTGAGACAAATTTCTATTCAATTGAATTCATTCTTCCAATCTTCTTTGATATATTTAATTTATGTGATTTTAAATACATGGGTACACCGTGGTAATCTTTTTGCATGTATTTGAGAGTTAAGATAACTATTGCCTGTCGAAGACGAGACGTCTTGCAACCCTAGTTTAGTGTAAACATTTCATACTAATTGAAGATAAGTTATGCATGTTTCTTAAATCCATGAATTCTCTTGAAGACAACGTTAGGGCTTGTAGCCATAACAAATCACTATAGTATTAAGCAATCAATTCCCGAATTGATACAATGATTATTGTTATGCAGTTAGTAGTGAATTCAAATCCCCAAGTCTTTTCATATTGAATTTAACTTTTGCTTTTAATTAGTTTTCATATTTCATTATATAAAATCTCAATATCTTTAGAATTAATTTAAGAACAAATTTTTACATTTAAAGTAACTCAGCCTTTCAGTCCCTGAGAATCGATACCTGAACTTGCCATTATTTTACTGAATTAGGGTATAATTTAGTGTTTTAGGCCAAGTTTGGCATCCTCCAAAAAATCCAAAAAGTCAAAAAGTCACTATCCTATTTAAGTCACATCATCTTATTTAAGTCACATCACTTCTCTAACACATCACTTCAAACCCAATCCAAATCCAACCCATATTTCATAAAAAGTCAAAAAATCAATTCCCGAATTGATACAATGGTTATTGTTATGCAGTTAGTAGTGAATTCAAATCCCCAGGTCTTTTCATATTGAATTTAACTTTTGCTTTTAATTAGTTTTCATATTTTATTATATAAAATCTCAATATCTTTAGAATTAATTTAAGAACAAATTTTTACATTTAAAGTAACTCAGCCTTTCAATCCCTAAGAATCGATACCTGAACTTGCCATTATTTTACTAAATTAGGGTATAATTTAGTATTTTAGTTTTTGTTGCAAACAACACAATCAATATACAATATATATCTCCATCTCCCCAACTTTGTACTAAAATCTCCAATCCTCTTTAGTTCTAAAAACTCATTGTTGGAGTGTATATCATATCAATAATATAAATATAAAGTTGTTAAGTTTGCTAGTAGAGTGAGTTCAATCTTTTAAGCATGGGGTCAAATTTAGATCAAACTATTTTCTTTTATGACAATGGATAATAATAATATTTCATTTTTTTAAAATATTTTAAGAAGTATTTGATGTGGTCAATTGACACCGCCGCCTTGTCCTTGTGTCCGATACCCCTATGGCACTTGTTTTGAAGTGTAGGTACTTCATAGATCTTAAGATTTGATTTAAATTGCTAGGTCAAATATCATATTGTAAGGAATCTAATTAAATCTACATGAATGTCTAGAGAATCTACTTAGAAAATATGAAGAAGAAGAACTCCGAAAATATGAGGAAGAAGGAATATATTTCTGTTATATTCAAAACTTCTTATCTTACAAGACCAAATGACACTCCTTATATAGGAGATATTACAAACATCATCATAACCCATTATATGCCACTTACATATTATATATTACCACTATCATATTATATACATGCCACTATCTACCACCAACACCACTATCATATTCTAAACATGCCACTATCTTGATTTAAATTGCTAGGTCAAATATCATATTGTAAGGAATCTAATTAAATCTACATGAATGTCTAGAGAATCTCACGATTGACGATTCATCACCGATTCATGCAATTCAAGTGGTTTTAAATCTCAACAATCATAAAAGATTTTTTTTTTTTTTATAGCTTTCTCAGTAACCATAATTTATTTATTTATTTATTTTTAGCTTTCCCCCCTCAGAAACAAACTTCTCAAGAAAAAAAATTTAAGGCCCTTACAGTTAAAATATATACATATATATTCCACCTTTCTCACTCCCCCCACCCCTCCCTTTTGTTTATGTTATATACCATTGGAGATCTCTAATGTTATCATTAAAGACATAAACATTCACTTTTTTCAAAGTCTCAAAAACTCTAAATAAAAATTAACTTTTCTGTATTTTTTATGGGCAAAGAGAATTTTTTATTTCATTTTCTTTAAACGAGAAAACAAGCAAAAGAACTCTAAAGATGACAAGGATTGGATTCGGAATATCAATGAACAAAAAGTAACTACAATTACATATATGTATATAACTATTAGAATCACGACTCTATTTGGTATAGATTCTAAGAGGTGATTATTACTTCTTTTAATTTGAAAGTCTTGTGTCAAACGGTTTGATGCAGCTTATGCTTATGTCTTATTAGGTAGAAATAACTAGGGGTGCAACTTGGGTGGGTTCGGTCGGGTTGGGATGTTATCCAAGTCCAACCCAAGTTATGCTGAGACCTGCTCAAGCCCGCCCAAGCCCAAATTGTAACCCGAGGTTGCCTGTCCAAGCCCGACCCAAGTTAAACCTGAATTGCCCGAGTTACCCGAATTGTAAATGAATTTCAGTTTTTTTTTTTTTTTGCAACTACATTATTAAAATATTAAAATTTGACTCTATTTACATTTTTTTTGGTGCAACTTGGGTGGGTTCGGTCGGGTTGGGATGTTATCCAAGTTCAGCCCAAGTTATGCTGAGACCTGCTCAGGCCCGCCCAAGCCCAAATTGTAACCCGAGGTTGCCTGTCCAAGCCCGACCCGAGTTAAACCCGAATTGTAAATGAATTTCAGTTTTTTTTTTTTTTTTGAACTACATTATTAAAATATTAAAATTTGACTCTATTTACATTTTTTTTTATATAGAAAATCATTAATACCATCAAAACAAATAATTTATATAATGTAAAAGAGATGTCGCTATAATAGTCCTTACAATTTATGCGTAAAAATAAAAAAAATAAGATTTTATGTTATTTGTATATATAATATATATTCAATATGATTTAATAATCTAAATTACTTTAATATCATGTAATGACTAATAATTTATATGTATATTTAATATTTTTATATATCTATATATGTATAATTCGGATTTCGGGTTACTCGGGTTATTTGACGTCTTTCCCAAGCCCGTATAAATTTAATTCGGGTTTCTAATTTTTTACCCAAACCCGTACCGAATTTGAAAATATTTTGTCCAAACCCTAAAAAAATTGGGGTTGAGCCCGCCCAAGTTGCACCCCTAGAAATAACTTAAATAAGTTGGAAAAAGCTAATTACTTAAAAGTTAGGAAGGAGGTACTTTTAGCTTCAGCTTTCTGATTATTAGATTTTAGCTTAAAAAAAAGCTCTACCAAACCAGGCCAAAATCCTCCCAACCAGCAAACTACTCGAGGATAGATTCATTTTCAAGATCATAGCACAAAATGTAAAATCCAATGGAGGATTAAATGAAAAAACATATTCACAACCATAGCACAAAATGTAGAGTTGTTTCATTCAGAACCCAAGTGAAACAAGTCCTTAGGCATGTTAATAATAAATTCGAAACTGGTATCAATTACATATAGCACACTACATATTCAGAAAAGCAGTGCAACAAAATGAGATGAACACTGAAGAAATGCCAATTACGAAAAGAAGGAGAGAGCAATAGATTAAATTCCACAAGTTAATAACAAAGAGAAGCAGCAACAAAGAAAAGATCATATCTCAAGACTGCCCACAGTCAGTATAAACAGAAAGAGTATATACAAATAATCAGGAACATCAATTGAACCAAGTTAGGGCATCATCATCATTCCTGAATTGATTCTTATACCCAATTTACTTGTCATGCAGCTTTTGTCTAATCTCTGTTTAGAGATAAAAATCTAAAAATTAAAAATTAAAACATAAAAACCATTGAGGTGAGCTTGAGAATAGAATTCGGGCAAAAACAAACAAACAAACAAACAAACAACAACAACAACAACAACAACAACAAAATGAATAAGAATTGAAATACTTGACACATAAAAGAAAGAATAAACCCTACCGAGAGAGAGAGAGAGGCGAGATTAGGGTTTCAGTACCTGGAGTTCGGTTCGAAACAGGTGGAGTATAACTGGTGTATCGGCCGGAGTAGTGAGAACTGAGAACTGTGATAATGGCCCAAGACACAAATGACCAGTGAAGGCACTCACTTTGTCAAAATAAATAAATAAAGAGCAAATTATATATACTTCTTAACAAAATTACAGATATCCTGAAATTTGAGAAATTATAAATATTTCCTAAAGGTACTATTTACATAATAAATTAGAGAGTAAGTTGTTATGAAAATATAAATCTTATGGGATAATTTGTTATGAAAATATAAACCTCACGAGTTATTTGTAATTTCTGAAACCTCAGGAATATCTGTAATTTAGTTAAACCTCGAATGAGGTATATGTAATTTGCCCATAAATTAAATAAATGGTAAATTACAAATACACCATGAGATTTTCTTAAGATACAGATGGTTCGTTATGATTTGAAAAATTAGAAAAATTACGAGTACCCTGTTATAATTTTTTATTTAATGAAATTAACTGAAAAATTAAAATGTATAATTGATCATTCATACAATAATAAAATTACTTAAATTATTAATTGAAATATATTTCTAATATCATTAAAGACTGTTAATTGATTTGATAATTTATTAATAAAATAGGCAATTTGTTATTGTACGGGGAGCAAATATTCCGGCAAGCCCGTACTCCTTTCTTCTGAGCTCCGTCTCTGTCCGATCACCTGCGAGCACAACAGCGGTGAGCTACCCGGCGGTGTGTGGCCGGAAAACCCCTCCGACGATCAAGTTAGAACACACACACAGGGGATAGATAGAGAGAAAGGAGAGTGTTGAGTGTTTTGCATATGTCTCACCAAATGTTCATCTGTCACGTAAAGGGGGCGCAGACATGCTTATATACCTTCTGCGCCCCAAATCTACTCCCAGTGATCTCTCACCACGTGGCACTGCTATCCCATCTGTCAGCATAAACCTTGCTGAGCATCATCTAACCCAACTGTCTGCCCATTCTTTTGAGAGCTCGGCAGCCGGGCAGTTCCATCTCGGCCATCGTCTGCCATGCTGCGCTTCATGCCCAAGTACTCCAACAGCTAAGCTCAGATGAGGACCAGACTCGGGGGCATCTTGGCAAAGCCGAGCTCGGGACTACTCACGCTTGTCTGCGGTCGACCTACCTGCCGAGCAAACAGGTACCTCGGTCCAATCTTGTCTTTCCTAGCGATGGACTTTTCACCTGACCGGCTTCGCAACCACGGATCCTTGTAGCTCGGTCAATCAACGCGCTGCCTTAACCGAGCAGCTTCCTTCAAGGCCGGGCCACACAACTTGGCCCAACACCTGTTCGGCCCAAATCTGTCTAGCACAACTCTGTCCGGCCCAAATCTGTCCGGCACAAATTCCATATCATTAATCTTCCTCTCAATTGCCCCTTAATTCCGTCCGCTGAAGCATGACTGGGATTACCTATCTTAACCGGGGTAATACTTCCTCGGTCCTCAGTATGCAAAATGGCGACCGAGCTAGTTGACATTCCTGTCTTCAAAACTTGCCCGGTTCAACTCCTCGGTTGACATTCCTGTCTCAAAAAGTTGCCCGGTTGACACCTCGACTCTTCATCCTGTCTCTTCAGTTCTGATGCTGCCATAAATGGAGACACGTGTCAATCCTCTGTTGGTCCTCGAGCAGCCAACCCAGCCGTCCCCTCAATTTTGAATTTGGGCGACCTCACCGCCCCTATAAACATGCATCTTCCTTCTTCCTTTGATCCTTACTGACTCTCTGGCATTCCAAGCATTTCAAAGCTGCTGTGCCCTCGCCAAGCTTCCATTCTCGTTCCTGCTCTGTGTTTGCGTTGGAAGGAATTGCATTTGCACCAAATCTTGGTAAGTCTCTTCGAGCTTTCGATATTACATCTATTATTCTACACTTTAGGGCACCTATTCCTTAGGTTTTAGGATTTAGGCACACAGAATCGTCCCAAACTCCTTACTGTTCATGGAGTTCTTCATTTTCGTTGATGAACTTCGAAGATCTGGGGACGATCGAGCTCCAGGTCGTCTTTAGATCCAAAAAACCGCTTAGACCGAGCAGAGAACCTGTTCGCCCCGACCTTAGTAAAAATCGGGATAGCCAAAGGACTTGGTCACTCGACCGGGCTAACATCTGGTCCGCTTGGGCGACCGAGCTCCTTGGTTAGTCTTTTACGACCGAGGTGGTTTGGCACTCTTCATGACTGAGCTAAAGTCAAGCTCGCTTTGCGCGACCGCGCTTCCTCTTACACTTGCCATCCTTTTCCTGCAGAGTCCAAGTGGACCACTGACCAGTACCGAGGTTAACAAAGACCGATCAGCCTCCAATCACCATTGTGCCAAACCTCGTAGACCGTACATGGGGAAATTTTGGTTCCTGGTAGATACTCCGGCTGCTCTGGCCACGTTCAAGGAGGAGTACGGCATCCCGACCGACGTCCACCTTAAGCTTGCAGAAATTGAGACAACGCCTTGGGGCAGAGAGTAATGCCCCTTTACCGTGCTATCAATCATCGAATGAGGCCTTTGTTTCCCCCTTAACCCATTGATTACAGAGTTCCTGCGTCGCACCGGGCTAGCACCCACTCAAGTGTCCACCAACACCTACCGAATAATAAACGGTGTGCACGAGCTTAACAACCGGCTAGGCACTAACTTAGGTTTAGCCGAGATACTGCGACAGTACACCCTGGGGCACACCGGCGACAGCCTCGCCTATTACCTTAAGATTAGGCCGGGCAAAGAAAAAATCGTAACCGGAGCACCAAACAAGGACTTGCACGATGACGATTTCTTCTGGGTAACCGGCAATTATGAAACAGCCGAGGTACCGGGCTAGTTCATAAGCAAGAACTTCGGTTCCACATGTAAGCCGTGCTGTCTTGTTCGGTCAATTCACTTTATTATTCTGCACTTAACCATTCTTCCTGTTCCTCTTGCAGCAATTCAAGCCTTGCAAGCAAACTACCAATACCCCAACGTAGAAGCAATCCGGACCGTGCTCCGCTACAACTACCGAGATTGCAACGAATTACTCGGCTACGTTCCAACTTACAGATACTCAGCACCACGCTGGAGTAAAGTTACAGACTTTCTCCGTGCTCCAACTCCTCCTCGAGACCCAACTCTGCCAGACGTCCCGTTTATCCGGTTAACTAAAGCCGAGGAGATGGCAAAAAGAAGCCGCATCAAAAACCTCCTAACTGCAACTTTTGCCGAGATACCGAGCATCGTCACCCGCTCTCCAGCCGCCGGTCAATCAAGCGGCGCCGTGGTGGCGCTGGCTTCTCCAGCCGCCGGTCAAGCTCGGCAAGAAGCACGCCGAGCTGGGAAAAGGCCTCGGGCAGATCCTTCTGCCAAGCTGGTGGAAGAGCTAACTACCGAGCAACAAATCGTCACAGTAGACCTAACGCCGGCATGGCGACCGCAGCTCAAGCACCGGGGCAAGGAGATCCCGGCAACGGCCTCCGTAAAGGGAGACAAAGAACACCTTCTTGCCTTTGACCTCTCCAAAGCCCTTCTCTTGCCGAGCGACGTGGCCAGAAGCAACCATGTTCTAGACACCCGGCTGGTGAAGTCGGCCGTGAAGTCCATGACCAGGGTATGAGTCTTAAACTTCCACTCAAATTTTCACTAGTGTTTGCACGGTTTCTTCTCTGATCAAGTTTCCTTTTTGTAGGCCATCCAAAAACAACACTTAGTCATGGAGCGCATCCACCGACTTCGGCAAAAGGCAACCGACACTGCAAGCCAAGTCCAAAGCCTCCAAACCGAGCTTGGCCGAGCAAAGTCCTCGCTTGAAATCGCCAACACCGACAACAACCGGTTGCTCGGCCAACTCGACGAAGCCGAGAAAAAGAGGGACGAGCTCCAGGCCGAGCTGGACGCGCTCAATAAGTCCAGGGAGAAGGATTGTGAAGACGCCAATAATGCCGGCTTCAAAGAGGCGGAAGACAACTACAAAAAACAAGTCTTCGCCACCCAGGACATATATTTCAAAGCTGGATGGAAGGCTGCCTGTCAACAGCTCGGTCAAGGTCCAGACACTGACGTGTTTGCCTCTCCACCGGCTGTCTTCTTACCGACCTACCTCATTCCATACGCCAATGACGTCTTCAGCGCGCTGCAGGCTGAGGCCGAGGAAGGACTCGAAGAAGCCGAAGCAACCGCTGAGGGAGATGACCAAACCGAGCAGGTGCAGCCCGGCCAGACTAGAACCGGTGTCCAGGACCAGACAGCAACGGTCAACCTGGAAGCTGATGAGGAATTCCCAGACCTCTCCCCCTTGGCTTAGTTTTCTTTTTTCTTTGTCTGCAAATGTAACCGGGCTAAGTTCCCCACCTTTTGTATTAACTTTTTATCAATGAAAAGCTTTAATTTCATCAAGTGTTTGCACGGTTTTCTCCAAGTCTAAGGGGACCAAAGACCAATTCTAAGGCTCATAAGGACCGAACTGCCACCCATTCCTAGTCTGTGCCAAACCACCTCGGCCGAGCTAGATTAGTCGGCCACATGGGGAAATT